CCTCAAGGTTGGGAGTCCAAGCCACAACTGATGCGCCAACCACTTCCACCCTATGAAGATAAGCTTATCTAATAGTCATGTTAAAGGGTGAGACTAGGACATATCTCCAACATTAAATTGACAAAGATAAAAAAATGTTAAAGACACAATGTATACATAGAGACCAACCTTAAATCATGAAGTTTAATTTAAAAATGAGCTAAATGAATGTATGTGTAAATAATCTGTTAATTATTAATTTATACAAATAAAAAGATTATTAAATTTGAAAGGGATTTTGAAATATTGAAATCTTCATGAGTATAACTTGAAAAAATTCAGAAGTATTTTTTATATCATTTCCAGACTTTTTAGACTTACGTCAACTTTAAAGATATGATAACCAAGATAGAGCTGCCGAGACAAAAGGAAGCCAAAAAAAATAAATAAAATGCAGTTATCTGTTTAACAGTAAAAGAAAGTATAACTAAAATGTCACTAGGAAGGCCATAAACTAAGCCTTAACTACAGCTGAACTAGTATTGAAATTAGCTTTGCTTAAAGAAGTCTAAACTTTGTGAACTAAAAAGTTTAATTTGCTAAATATACATAGTTTGAAATCAAGGGAATAACTCCATTAAATTGCAAGGATGTTTAAAAATTAAAATGTATGGTTTCCAGTTAAAATTAATAGTTTACCTTTCCTGTTAATATAATTTTATTAGATTTTGATTTAATGGGTAGTTAGGAAATTAGTTTTAATATATTACCAAGCAGCTTCCAACAGTTTATCGTGTTGAGTCAAGGAGTATGTAAAATGCTATGTCACCGAAGACTACAGGCAGATCGCATTTACAAGTTAAGCTTTCTGGATTAATTATTACTTATCAATTACCCCAATTAATTTACATTTTATTAAAAGAAGAGGTGTCTTTGTTGTCTTTGATGGCTTAAAGTTAACGATTATCAACCTTCTGCCCACTCATTCAATTTATTGTATTTGTTTTCTGTATATGTGTACCACGATTGTATTGTACTTTGCTTTTTTTTGGTGAATAAAGAATTAGAATAAGAATCAATAGTAAATACAATATAATTTAGATGGTAATAACATCTACCATAAATATTTTTAAGTGTTTATTAATACGATTTGAAAATATCAACCACTTAATGTTATCTGTAAGATAATAATGTAATACCGTATAGTATGCTGAGGCCAGGAAATAAGAGATCTTAAAATGTGCAGACTGTTTCAGACATGACATGGCTTACGTGTAGATTGGCCTACGTGTGGATGGCCTACGTGTCATTTGGTATTCATTGTATGGCAGCGTGTATGCCTGTGTTTAAGTAAGCTGATTGAGATTTTCTAGAGTGAATCAGTAATTCATATATAAGCATATACATTAGTTGTCTTTCAATCATGTGATGATTATCTGAGTCTTACAGTGTTATTAATTTTTTTATTTATATTTTCAAGTATCCTTAACAAATAGTATTAATAGCAATAGAATTTTTACTGAATACTAATTTAATTAAATTAACTAGAATTCTAATTCATTTCATTTCAATTAATTAATTTATCGAGTCACAATCAGTACAAGATGGTATTAATACTGAAACAATAGCCCAGATAAAAGAAAGGGTATAGAGAAACAAGCATAATTATGCTTTTACATTTGTAATCCTAAATTAATAATGATTATTAATAATAATAGTAGTAATATACCGTAATAATAGTAATAATATTAATAATAATCAAATAATAATAATAATATATAGCGCATATTATAAAACAATGTTAAAATAAAATATGCGTTTGACTGAAAGTTATGATGTTTCTTTAAAAAATAATGTTAGCTTTGAAAGTGGATATTGTAGAAGATTGCTTAAGATGTAATGGTAGAGAGTTCCATTGACTATTAGCTATAATTAATGTGAAAGATCTGTCACCAATAGTTTTTAAGTTACTTGGTTCAGTTATGTAACATTGCTGTAGGGCTAGCCTTAGTGGTAGAACAACATATATCACATTGTAGTTTGTGATGATGAGCCACCTCCATCAGTAATATTAAGACAATAATATATGTGATTTATCTATTATTTATAGCATAATTATGTAATAACTTGGGAAAAAATGGGATATTTTAAGGGTGTATACTACTACTTCCGCCTACTAGAATAGTTGATAGATCATCCAGATGATAGATCATCCAGATGATAGATAACCAGAAGGTCTTAGGCTAAATTTGTAACAATAATAACATAGTTACCAACCGTCTCGCATCGTGCAAGACGGTCCCGCATTCGAAAGGGATTTTGGATGAAACACGCGCATTAGTGATGGCTGCCGCAACAACGAATACAAGGATGATACTAGATGAGCACATTTGTAGGTTTAGAGGGAGAATGAGTGGGAGGAAAATCAGAACAAACATCCCCTTAGTCACCACATTGTTTAACATAAAAATTAGTGGGGGGGGGGGCTATGTATCATATGAATTGTTATTTAATTTTATTAGTTTTAAATAGTCAGTTAATATTCAATACATACATTTTTTAAGTTTATGTGGATTAAAGTTGAATAATGGAAATATTTATAAATTTATTCTGTTGTTTTGTTTTGTTATTTTTGATCAGACATAAATAGCACCTTCCACTGGGAACAGCCCCACAGATATTAACAATTTTTATGTAACATATAGTTTGTATTTTTTTAAAATTATTTTTCATTTATTTTTGCATTCCCATCATCACAAGGGCACAGCCCAATCAGTGAATTCAGTAATTCGCAGAACACCCTACCTGCCAGAAAGTCAACCAAACTAAGTATTGCATCTCTAGTAAAAAATGCCAGTGAAGGATCCAGGAATTTTTTATAGATGGGGCCACCTCAGCCCCACTGTGGTTGGGTCTTAGATAAGAAAATGTATAATTATGGCACCTCCTGATGGCTGGAAATGGCACTCTCAGACTTAAAATCGGAATATAATTTTCTTTTTTTATTTTTATTTTGAGGGGGCCCCTTTGAATCCACCACTGAATACTGAATAAAAGAAACTATTGTGGCCATGTGTATTTCAGTCTTCTAGCTCTTTTCACTTTTCTCTCTATTTAGGAATTAAAATAATTTTAGGTAAAAATATAATTAATATCAGAGCTCTGAGATCTAAGGCTGAAGTACTCATCTCTTTTAAAACGTCCTTTTCCAAACCTCTCAGTAAGACATAAAATAGACAAAATTAATATATATACATTAATTGGGGAGAATTACTCACTGATACATGACAAGAGATATAAGAAATAACTTATATTGGCATAGGCCTATCACTGGACATGTCCCGAGGGACGGAATCAAATTCCTCAAGTTCATTATGATGAGATGAAATTAACGCTAAAAACTAAAGCTAGTTTCTTAAAGCCAACATTATGGGTTGAGTCATACAGGATATGGGACCCTAACATAGGAAGTAACAGACGATGAAATGTCACCGCTGTTGATTGGATGAAAGAAGTTAAAAAGAAATTTACAGAGGGGGGAAGCTACATAGAAATGATTGCCCTCATGATAACACAGTGTTTCTGGGGTTTGAGACACTATGAAAAAAAAAAATATAAAAAATGAAATTTTAATTGAGGAATGGTGTTTGAGTCATCATAAGTAGATGTTAATTTCTTTTCAGTTTTTTTGTGATAAGAAATAAATGATGTTTACAATAATACTTTTTGACTGTTTTAGCAAATAAAAATTGGATTATTATCAAACTTTAAATTGAAACTAAAATATTCAGTTTTCTTGAATTATTATTAATTATTTATTACAAGATTCTTGTCTGCAATGCATTCATAGGAACTAATGTATTGTGCGTGATTTCTGTGTCAAAGGATAAATGCTATGGCGTTAGAAAGAGGAATTTCCAAGAACCTGTTCTGACGTATTGCATCTTTTTGATTTAGTTTTGACTAATTAGTTGGTAATGAATCTTATTAATTAGTTGGATGTGAATCATAGGTAATTATATACTGAAGTCATGAAGAGAATATGTTCTTGAAATGTGGTTAAAATGATTATGAAAATAGGTTATGAAGACATAGGAATGATTATAGAATTGTTTTTATGAGAATGCAAAGCATATTGTTAAATTATGGTTTCAGGACACATGGTATGGTTTTTCTTCCGTTGTTATAGTACATGCCCCTATCTCCCTTACTAGAGAAGGTTGCACTCCCCCCTGGATGCCTTCTGAACTAAAAACTTGCTTAGCAAAAACAAAATTACACTACAAAGTAGATAAAAATCACTTTACAGTATATCACCTTATTATAATAATAATACACATTTTTATTTATTATCCCTACTAACGTTCCTCTACTTTTCTAGCCGCTGGAACTCCTACACATACCGCATGTGATATATAGCAACAGATGGCCAACATTAAACATTAACATTATAATGTTATAGAACCACTGTGACAGTGGTTCTATTATTATTTTAATTGGTAAAAGTCAAAGGACAAGGTCAAGGTCACAGAAAGATAATGGAATCACCCACTTATTCAGGCAGTACTCAGGAAAGCAATGTGCCTGAATACAGCGGGTGATTCCATTATTTTCTTGAACTTAGGCTGCAGCACTCAAGAAAATAATCTGGAATACGATAGGTGGTTCCCTTATTTCATTGAAGGTATGCTTCGCCCATTCACGGACTGTGTATTGTTGGTACTGTATTCAGGCACGTGGCAGAGGTATGTCCTCTAGGGAGTGACTGCTCTAGTTATTACTGTATTTATTATTTGTGGACACAAAACAATATTCAAAATATATTTACTTTTAAAAGTCATATGATGCATATTGCACATTTATTAACTTGTTCCACTTGGGAAACATTACAATAATAAATTCATTAAATAAAATCTGCTCGATTCACTTCCCTTTTCTTTTATGATCTATATTTGTTGCATTGCTTACAATCTTAATAAAATGCAACTAGATATTTGTCTATCAAACTCATCTTAATGTCTGTTTACACTATCCAGTAATACCAATAAAGGTAAATCACATGTCGTTGTTGCAGAAATTGCGATAGTGTGAACAGAGCATAACATTGTTTGCCAAACAATATCTGTTTGCCAAACAATATCTGATAAAACAAATTGTTTATCTGTTCTTGAAGTCAAACAATTTGCTACTTCATTAGGCTTGTCTTATCAAAAATTGTGGAGACTGCAACAGCAATATATCACATATATTCACAAATATAATAAGATTTACAACACATACACATACATTATATCAATCAATCACAAAACATTTATAGAGCACCAGAATACACTGCAAGCAATGTAAGATCAGACTTAAATAATTTTCTGATTGGCTATTTTTCACCTGTGTACATAAATGAACTATTAACAAAAGTACAGAACACATAATGCTAAAAGGCAGAAAAAAAGAATGAGAACTATTATATACTATATATTTTAAACACAATATCTCACCTTGTGTTAAAACCTAAAAAAACATAAATAGCTAAATAAAAATATTTAATTGCTTATTTATAAAGATTAAATAAGTTATTAACTTCCAATAAAACACAAATTAAAAACAAATTCCAATTTCACTGATTAACAGACATATTTAAAAAAAAAAATGAGAACTATTATATAATATATATTTTAAACACAATATCTTAACTTGCGGTAAAACCTAAAAAAACTAAATAACTAGATAAAAATATTGAATTGCTTATTTATAAAGATTAAATAAGTTATTATCTTCAAATAAAACACAAATTAAAAACAATTCCGATTTCACTGATTAACTGACATATTTTCGATTAAAATCCTTAAATTGACCGGCCAATTTAAAGAGCTATGCAAAACTACAGGAATGGTATTATGATACATCTTGTTGATTCCAAAGGAAAAAATAATATTTAATTTAATTTTAATTAATTTTTAATTGAAAGGTAATAACTTATATGCAATACAAGACTTTTTAATACCTTGTTTAGCGAACTTATATTTTTAATTATCATCAGAGGAATGCGGAAAATGAATTTCCTAAAGCATCTATGGGGCGGAGAAAATAAATATACAATACTGTGTAGTAATAAGATTGATAAATGCTTTACATTTATAAAATTAACGAAGAAATATATACATCTTATTTTTGGCGATTTCAGGGGAGCGGAGGGCACAATAAAAAAAACATTTTTCTAAAAATTACTATATTCTTTTTGTGGTGGAGCGTGTGCTAACTGGCCAAAAATAAAATTTTATTTTCATTTGAAATCACCATCATTGGCAGTCAGAGGGTTTGCTAAATAAGGCATAAAAGAGTCTTGCCTAAGCACATTAAATAATAATTTTGTAAGTTTTTTTGCTCAACATATACAATATTTTTCAATATATTTTGAAAATTTTTCTGTAATATTAACAGTCTAGTGGTTTATAGTTATTCCATATGACATAGTTTCACAAGGGAAGACCAGCCCTGGTATATGACAAAGTGAAATATTTGCAAAATTTGCCTATAGATATATTTGCATATAGCAATTTGCATATTCATTGCATAATGAATACATTTGCATATATTTTGAATGTACACAATTCACCACTCAGCGGCACAACCAGCAAGAGAGATTCAATTGGTAAAGGAGTTTCCCTAAATGAATCTTGTTGGTAATTTTAGACTAATAATAAAACATAAAAAGCGCTAATATATTGCGATAAAAGGGAGAATTCAGTAACAAGCCTGTGCAGTAGTGTCATACTTTTTTATAATGCATTTGAATCTGATATGGAAAATTGTATTCTCCTTGATTTTATATCTTAAAATATATATAAATTTTAAACTATATGTAATACCAAAATATATTTCTATTTTGTAATCAAATTCATGCTTTAGAATCACCTCTGGTGGTTTGTGTTCAGTCATGCGTAACTTTCAATCATTTATCTTGCATTCAAGCTCTTGCATCAAAAATATTTGTATTCAGTATTTACATCAGTTTTTTAATCATATTTATATCAATATTATATTATTTGGCACTGCGATACACCCATGGTCACTGTGATTACAGCTTCCCAAGTTGTAAAATAAAGTAACTATTATAATCATAAGTTTAAAGACTGCATAGGAAGGTATTAATTTATGGTGTTACTTCCAGTGGCCTTCCTCCTCTACCTGTGAAAATTCCTCCCTGGCCCCTCTTTTCGAATTCCCTGATCCGCCACTGCAATTGTTTAATTTTGCGTGCCACCAATTTTTATTAATTAATTTAGAACAGCTGCTGAGAACGAATATGCCAATCTTGAAATAGTTATGAAGCCGATTATCAATAGTATTTATACGATGAATTTTCTGATAACTAGGGAATTCCCCTATCACATCAAAAGGCCCGGCAATTAATCTTGCACCAGTGCCCTTTAGCACCTACTGTAGTTACGCTGCTGGTTAAATTAATTATTTTTCATGTTACGATCATCATTTTTTCATTAGTTGGGTTTACAGTGATCACAGGTGCATTGAAATACAGCATATTTGATAGTCCATATGTCATCCATCTTTTTTAAAGTACAGTATATTCACATAGTAACATTTTTACAATACCATCCTAAACATACTATTGTAACAGTAGCATTCTGTTTCTAACATCAACATGTGCAAATAGATTATCAGTATAAATGAGGCCATATGTAATATGTATTGCATCACAACCATTCATAGCTTGGAGAGCTCAGGATGTTTGCATTTTCAACACATGAATGAACACAGGTACCCTAAAATTAAATTCCATGCAAATTCTACATATTGGTATTCTCGGTCCTGAGTTAATCTGATAGATTATAATATAGTAAAGCTTTGGTAGCAGACACACATTTTTTGTGGATGAGACCTAAACAAACATAAAAACTTTATAGATGATGATAATATAAAGATAATAATAATAATATAGTATATTTATTACATATTTGAGATATACTGTTTTATAAAATAAACTCAAAATATAATGAAAGCACTGAATTATTCATTTGAAAGGATTTAATAACAGAATAATTGATTAACAGACTATTTTTTATATCCTTAAAATTGATTACCAGCCAATTTAAGGGCATATTAAAATAATAGAGGAATAGTGGTATTTATGCATTCTTTAATTTCCAAAGATTTTTTTTCATTTTAATTTGTAATTGAAAGCTAATAACTTACATGGTAAGGCAAGACTTTTTCTTTCCTTGTTTCGCAAACTTATTAGAGGTGGGCAGAAAAAAATTAAAATAAAATTTTGTTTTCTTGTTCAGCAAATAGTTTTTCCAAAAACCTCCTGATGGAGGATAAAATAAAAATAACTTTTTATTGCTGAATGTAAGTGGTATTGTAATTGGAAGATTAAATGCTTTAAATTTATATAAATAGGAAGAAATATACATATCTTATTTTTGGAGATCTCAAGGCCACTGAGCAGCGGGCTTAATAACAATAAAGAAAAACTTTTATTTTTTTCTGATATTTTCAATTTTTTTTGCGGTGGTGGATGTGGACTAATGGTCCAAAAATTTTATTTAATTTTTATTATAAATTATCAATATTGGAGGGTGGTGGGTTTGCCAAACAAGTTATAAAAAAGTCTTGCCTAATTAAAAAGTAAACAAGGACAAAATACATTTAAGCATTGGCAGTGAGTGTCTCATCTTAGGAATAGAAAAGAATCCACATACAAAACCTGACAAGCAGAGATACATGTTCCCCCCATTCCACCATATGTGTAGACTACCCATGCATCTGCTGTTACTACTGACACAAAATCTTTTTTAGCCATAGAAATTAGCTTTTTAAAATAGTATTTTCGTACATTTTATAGAAAAAAAATTGTAGAAAAACACATGAAAATAAATAATATAAATTGATATTGGTATGAATAAAATTTTTATTTTTTTTGCAATTTATTTCCATTAAGGTAGAAAAGGTTACATATTGAGTATGAACTTACTCCAAATCTGACTGTATCTGGAGACGTCTCTTTTGTGGTTTAGGCTTGATAGCTTTTGGTGGTACAGCACTGGGATTGAGGTACATCATGGATGGAATTTGAGAGTTCATCTCAAGCAGCATAACATTGTCATTGTTTGGTGAGTAATACACCGTCTCGGGCCTGACTACCGCACGTGCTGGCCTAACTGCTGCTCGACCCTTCTTCTGTAATCCTTTCTTCAGGTTGTCTGCCCTCATTTGAATCGTTTCAGCTGGCTTTTGTTTTTTATGGTTGTATCGGTAATATGCCACTGATGCTGTTATTGCCACCAACAAACCAAGCCCTCCGAGCGATACTGTTAAGATAGAGATGTTATCTTTAGCATGTGACTTGTCGGATTCGTTTGTGTGCACTGAGATGCAGTTGCCGTCACTAAGACTGCTTTCGCCACCCGTGTTGTAAGCCACAACGCAAACACGATAATTTGCTTCTGTTTCAAGCTGATGTAGTGTGAAAGACTTGACGTCTGGATCGAGTGGCATGCTTACCTCAATGGGGTCGGTTCCACCAAGTTTTCGGTAAAGCACTTTGTAACCAGAGAGGTCGCCGTTTATCTCCCCTTCTTCCCATTGAATCTGGATAAAGTTGCTGTGTGTATTTATTATTTCCACATTAACTGGTTGACCCGGAAGTAAAATCTCACAGTACCGTCCACCCCACTCTTCTGTACACGCACACTTAGCCTTGAGAACTACAGGCTCAGCGACAGCTGCAGGCACTGCTGATTTGTTTGTCACTTTTGGTTTCGTATTTATCCTTTCATCAGAGGCGCCCTCTACGGCATCTGCAGGAACTTCTGCACATTTACCTTTATGTAGACAAGGGCTTGGTGTACAAGGATGTGGATCGTAAATTATCTCAGTTGTTAGGGATGGTACATTTGTGGGGTGAAATGGAGGTAATATACGGGGATGTTTGCTAGGCAACACATTTCCTGTGCCGGGAATTATTACGCCTGGAGAACCAGCTCCAGGAATCCATGGATTTCCAACTCCAGGATTTCCAACTCCAGGATTTCCAACTCCAGGATTTCCAACTCCAGGATTTCCAACTCCAGGATTTCCAACTCCAGGATTTCCAACTCCAGGATTTCCAATACCTGGATTTCCAATACCTGGATTTCCAACTCCAGGATTTCCAACTCCAGGATTTCCAATTCCAGGATTTCCAACTCCTGGATTTCCAACTCCTGGATTTCCAATGCCAGGATTTCCTATTCCTGGATTTCCAACACCAGGAGTTCCTATGCCAGGATTCCCTCCTATTCCAGGATTTCCAACTCCTGGATTTCCAATGCCGGGATTTCCTATTCCTGGATTTCCAAAACCATTGTTTCCTATGCCAGGATTTCCTCCTATGCTAGGATTTCCTCCTATGCCAGGATTTCCTCCTATTCCTGGATTTCCTCCTATTCCTGGATTTCCAATTCCAGGAGTTCCTGGAAATCCAGGTCCAGTATTTCCAGTGCCTGTATTTCCAGTACCTGTACCAGTTCCTGGATCCCCAATACCAGGAGTTCCTGGAGATCCAGGTCCAGTATTTCCAGTGCCTGTATTTCCAGTACCTGTACCAGTTCCTGGATTCCCAATACCAGGATTTCCAGCTCCAGCATTAGGTCCATTTGGCTTTACAGTTACAGGAATTGAGCCACCACTGTTGCCTGTTCCTCCAGCACCTCCAGTTGGAGGCTTAGGCCTAGCCCCTGGTGATCCTGCACCTGTAATTAAGTGGAATAGATTGAGGTAATTTATTTTCTTAAATTATAAGGAGGAATTTTTAATATTATCATGGAGTTCATTTTAGAAGAGAATATGTATTGTATTGAATAAAGTGATAAATTTAAATGAAATACATTTTTTAAAGATCAAAATATAAAGCTAATTTATCAATTAACATTTTACGGTAATGCATATGCTATTGCCTGGGTGTTATGCCTGATTTAACAGTAAGACGTAATCTCAAAATTATGCAAGTTAATATGTAAGCAGGTGGATTTAATTAAACAAAATTTTTTACCTGGTGCTGTGACTCCTCCTGCTGGTATGGAATCCACAACTAAGATGTTGTAAGTAATAGATGCAACCCCTCTGCTATTAGTTGCTGTACATGTGTATGGTCCTGAATCTGTATAAGTGGCACTCTGAATAATAAGGGTTCCATCCGTAAGTGCGGTGACGTGCTGCTGTGCATTGATGTTGGTCATAGTAGGCAACTTGCCGACAGTTATCATTCTAAATGAAGGCAGTATCCACTCTTGTTGTGCAACTACATGCTCGTCTAGGTCACATGGTAATTTGGAATGTGTTGACACCAAGATGTATATCTTCAAAGCTTTAGGTTGCGACACGATTCTTGGAGAGACACACGTGAACGGATTACCAGAGACTGTATTCATTACTGTTTTTATTGGATCGTGAGCATACTTTGAGGGTGCTCCACATACGGTTTGCGTTAAGGAAAACATCTTGTTTTGGTTTGCGTGGAACCAGTCTATGAATGGCAAGATGGTACAATCACAATTTATAGGGTTGTTGGAGATGTCAAATCTTCCAAGAGCAGGCATGCCAGCGAGAGCAGAAGCCTGCACAAGAGTGATTGCATTATGGTCTACTTCTAAGCTTCTCAAACTCACAAGACCTGAAAACATAAATGCATAAAGAGTTGGAATCTGGTTATTATCCAGCCGTAGATTTAACAATGCTCCAAGGTTCCTAAAGGCTTGCACGGACACATCACGTATCTCATTGTATTGCAAATGTAAAGTTTCAAGCGAATTCAGTTGACTCAGAGCAAACATACTCTCGTCAACGTATGTTAGTCTGTTATCTGAAAAATCTATCGAACGGAGTTTCGACAATCCTGCCAGCACTCGTTCTTGAACAATATTGATTCCACATTTTGGCACTGCAATATGTTCCAGAAGTCGATTGTCTTTGAAGATGTCATTTTGCAATGTGTTCAAATTACTGTCTGTAATTTTGAGCATTTTTAAATGTGGAAGACCGTAAAAAGTTCTTGCATCAATGCCAATCAAGTGGCTTAGAACGATGGTCTCCAGATTAGGTAGGTGGCTAAAAACGTCTGGAGGTAGCGTTCCAATTTGTTTGTTTTTAGAGAGGTCTATTGAACGCAGGTTATTGAGACCTGTGAACATGCTTGGAGGCACAGCGCGTAGCTTGTTCTCTTGCAAGTTAATTTCTCGCAATCTTGTCATTCCGAGAAAAATGCCACTTGGAAGACGTGTCAAACGGTTTCGTTGTAAATCAAGGCTGCGAATATTTCCTGCTAAACGAAAAACCATTACATGAAGTCCTGCGATCAAGTTATCACTTAACGCAAGGTAATCTAGATTGCGTAAGTTGCGGAAAAGATTTGGGGGAATTACTGTGATCTTATTTGCATTCAAGTAGATGTTGCTGAGTTCTAAATTTCTTAAAAAGATTGTGTTCTCAATTTTTTCAATATGATTGTCGTGAAGATTCAGAAACTGTAAACTTTCCAAACCAAGAAAAGGACTATTTTCAAGAGAAGTGATAGAGTTCTGATACAGTTGGAGAACCTGTAAAGAACGAATGTTTTTAACTGCATACGGTACTTCCGTCAACATGTTGCCAGCAAGCGTGAGATCTGTCAGGTCCTCCTGTCTGCGGAATACACTGTCATCCAACATTTGTATCGAATTCCAACCAAGATTAATCAAACCTAGATTGCGGTTAAAATCAAAAACTCCATCTTCAATATACTGGATGATGTTATACGATAAATCTAGATATTGGAGATCAAGAACAGAGCGAAATGATGATCGTTCAATGTTGCGAATTTTATTATTGTTTAAAAGTAGGATATCTGTTTCTAAGGGCAGATTTTTTGGGATGAAGTTAAGCTGTTTATTGGCGCAGTCTACTTTGCGATAGACTCCTTGACGAAGGGGATATAAATAAGCATTGGTGATGGTACATACACATCTGTTCGGACAAGGTACAGTTCGTGGCCAAGTTGGTAAGGCACGTTGAGCGTTTGGTTGAATATCAGGCTGAACACCTTGCAGAGCACCAACCAATTCAATCAAAATCACTCCTAGAATCAATGCAGACATCATTAGCTTGTTCATTTTTGTCAAATTTAAAATCTGCTACAGAGGAAAATGTTTACAATCATACCCTTATGCTCTAACTTCTTGATATCAATCCACCGTTAATTTTTCTGAACATCTGTAAAATAAAATTTAAAAATGTAAAAGTTATAGATTAACAATATAAATAAACAAATATATGGTAATGAACAAAACAAAACCCACCATATCAGTAAACTTAATTATATCACAGATCCTATGTGATTATATATTATGCACACTTCGTCGGAAACTATAAAAGGATTTAATTTAAAAAATGACAATTCAATTAAAACCCAAGCTTCTACTACATCTACAGCAAGGTATACAAAACTGTAAGAGGCTTTAAAGACTGTATAGAGAGCTTTATAATGTCCTAGGCCCCACTTTACCAGCAGAAAACTAATTTCTTTATAAAGTACAGAAAAATATGTTAAACCAACACACACCTAAAGCAAAAGGAAGCACAAGGTTCCTGATAACTACCTCATGACTGTGCCAATTTCCTATAAATTAAATCGTTACAAATTTGTCTTTTCTGGTCTAAATTCAAAGCAATGTCTACATCATATACATGTGAGATGTATTTAATTAACAAATGTTAAATACAATCTTTAGCACTATTTTGTATTAAAAAAGAAAAAAGAATCAAGAAAAACTGTAATCCACCAATTTATTTCTTTATAATTATTACAACCAATTGCAGGATATGTGCCTCAGGGTTTTTATAGTTTCATTAGCCATAATCGTGTACTATAGTATTTATGTAGCTAGATGCAGTATCACAACCATATGAAGCAGCAAATAGTAGGAATACTGCCAATGAAACAAGCCACACAGATTTATAATTGATTTTAAAATTGAATATAATGTAAAATCAAACATATAATTATCATAATTTTTAAATCATTTGAATTTATTTATCACTAATTTAATTAGGCAAATTTTATGCCAAGGTCATGTTTAAAATTGTACTGCGATTGAAAATGACAATTGCTAATAATAAACAATCATATACTGTATTATTTTCAAAATTAGTTTCTGTTTTCCAGTACACCAAATGGCAGTATGTTTATAAACCATGAATGTCATTACAGGGGTCACAGGTTGGAAGAAATCCCTTTCCAGGAGTGGTCTGGTTAAATGAGCTTTCTAACATATGTGCAAGACAAGCCATATAACAGTCACTTGTCGCAGATCCTGCCTGATTTCTCAAATATTGCTCTTTAAGCAGCTGTATATTTAAACTCCTGTAACTTCATAACGAAATGTTGGATTTAAATGATTCTTTAACCATTTTATAGCTCTCATTTTACTTTTTAATTCTGTTATTAATTAAAAATTGACTAATTAATATTAAATTGTATCATGCTTCAGTTTTGTGTAATCTTGTCCTGTATCTGTTCTTCATTGTGATTGGTGAATTCAAATTGATGATCTCAGACTATATTGCAGAATATTAAATGTATAAATATACTTGACCTTCCTGGGAACTCCTGATTGGTCAGTTCTCATACAGTGAATATGAATCACACAAAAAGTCTGACATCCTCAACTTGATTCAATATTCATTTGTAAACATATCTAAGTGAATTTTTTTTGTGAGAGAGCTATCTCTACTTTTGTGAAGATTATATCATTAAGTATTTGAAAAAAAGAATTTTATATTGAGATTATAAACTGAATGCAGCAATTGCATGAAAAAATGTTATATTTGATAATGCTTTGATGAATAACTTGGTGTATATTATTCTTTAATGTAAATAATATTGATAATGATACTCACATTAGGTAACACTGACTTGTGATTAGTGTACAGTATCAACAGCTATTTTAGCAATGGTAACTGAGAAGACTTATTCTGTACTTAAGGAATGGATTATTTGTGTTAAAAATTTGGAAATATTCTCATTTGGAAATTCTAAACCTCAAAAAATAAAGATAAACAAAATAAACTCCTGATGTTAAATTCAATGACTAAAGCCATAAAATAATTTTAAAATGTCCTTAAACTCACCGTTTTTGTTGGTTTACTCTTAAAACCCAGAAGTTTTAGTCCACGGGGCACTGTCGGTTGAAGTCCTAGGAAACTCTGTTCTGATTTCGCATTTTGCACAATGACACATTTCACTGCCACAGACCATACCACGATCAAAGAAATCAACCAATCATACACCTTCAAATCAAGTTGCTACAGGAACGAACTTACTTACTAGGTCAGTGCTCGTCAATGCAATACTTCTTTTAGGGAAAAGAAATATGAAAGCTTTCAAATAGTTTTCACTGATGCGGTATTTATCTGCATCCCGGCACGTTTGCTGCCTTTAGATAGGTTCAAAGAATTAGACTAATGACTTGTGGGTGTGCGTTAAATACTCTTTTGATACGATAGTGAATTTCAATAGTCCGTATTCATGGGTAGCGTTAGTATTATCTAAGTTTTGCGATATATGACAATGGTAAATGTGGTGATGCACGTGCTGTGCTTTTGGTGTTAATTTTGTATGTTGATATGTTTGGCAAAGCTGTACAGGTTTGTGATTTGACAAAAGAATGACTTCCTTTAGAATTCCCACGGTTAATGGGACGTAATGACTTGTAAAGGATGAAGCATGATTGTAATAATTAAATAACTGATAAAGTCAAACTTTAAGAATAATCTAATTTATTCAAGCAAGTGAATTCAGATTTGTTCATTAAGAACAATTATTGTTATGAAACTTTTATAACCTTGTTTTTTTTTTTGTCTAAAGATTTTGTGCATCAATGATCCTTGACCCATAAACTTTTATTTTCTTTTTAATAATTTTTATTCATATTTTATAGGATAATAAAACTTTTCAAATTTATTACACATGATTTGTAATTTTTATTATAATATTAAAATAAGTAATAAATTGTTTTATTTCAATATTCATTTTATATTTTTTGAAATGTTTAATATTTTAATTTCTAATATTTTAATTACATCAAATAGCAAAATCGCTTGGGTTTTTAAAGAAAATCTGAGAAATGCCACTATGAAGTTTCTTATAATGTAAAGATCATACATAAATTTAATATGGTGGCGACTCAGTCAGAGCACTAAAATATAAATATAAAAGGTCTATATCTACTACTATTATTTTTGTCATATCAGTATATTGCTTGATAAAAGGTTTTCTCAAAATGTGCTACATGAAATTGGCTGAGTGGAAAGAATTTAACTCCCTGTGACATCCAGCATGTTAAATTAAGTTATGATATCAAAAAAATATTTTTAAAAAACTGTTCACATTTCTGACAAATGTTATCAACAGCTGATATGATATGATTCAGCAGTGAAACACTCTTCTATCTGTTGCCCATTATCTGCAGCTTTCTCACACATATCATGATCAGTATAGCTTATCGCAATATTTCATCGGTCCTAGATGACTAAGGTCTAGAGGAAAATGCGTAGTGTTAGGCCTACTGAGAAAAAAGGTTCCAGACACAGGAGTAAGTCTGGTTAAAAATAGTGATTACTAACTATTATTGACAGTTTAAAATCAATGAAAGAAAAGAACTAAATTAATGAAGAAGTCAGAAGAATTGTTGGAGGAGAAGAATTATTGTTTTTGCAAGTGTTGAAAATTGGATAATGATGGATTAGATATCCGTAGACACCATTACTTCCAGTCTAACCATTACTTTGCATTTAATTACCAATTTTGATTTGTATAACATATACTGGTACACATTTTTTTAAATTTTTTTATTGTTGTGGTATTGAATCTGCAACTCTTGGGAAACCATACCAATGTATTAAGAGAGTATTTTGAGAATAACGATTTGATTTTATTAGAAAAGAATGAAAACAATAAATTTCGATATTAATTTATTAAAAAAAAAAAAGATAAATTAATGTGTTCATATTTAGGATGAGACAAGACAAGATGTGAAAATCAATAACGTAAACACAGTGCGGTGCCAGAAAATCCTGGGCGAAAATTCCAAGGTTCTTGATGGGGTTTTATTGTTATATACCTTGCCACTGACATCATCGCCATGTTTATGACGCTCAATTTTCTCATTTGCCTTAAACAATTGTAAGTCTGCTGCCAAAAGCCCACGTAATATTCTATTTTTAGAATATATTAAACGAAACGTTTACCACGCCTACTATGCCTAAACTGCCACTGAATGATTTTGGCGAAAAAACAAAAATACAGTTATTTGTACAGAGGTTCTCTGATCGGGTTCGAAAAAGGAACTGTTTAAAAACATAAAGATAACATGTTTAATTGTGGATATTTTGCAGGGTCACCGCTACAAGACTTAGCCAGTTGAATAAAGTGCTTCGTGGCATTAAGCTTGGGAATTTCAGGTAGGTCTCGTCATCATCTGTTACTATAGAATTACATTCTCATTTATTATATTTTTCTGTAACAAATTTTATTCTAGATTAATGGGTGAATGTTCAGCTTGCAATCTGAGGGCCCTGGGCCAAAAATTGATTTGATATCATATTAAACACATGAGCTACTATTGGTTTTTTTGACTGGAAATAAGTTGACTTTACATCTGAAGTGACACTACCACCACTACTATAAGGAGGTGCTGTTTTTTTCCCCATTTTTTCGCTGTTTTAAAGATTAATTGACTGATTGTGAACTACGTTTTCTGCCGAGTAAACCAATGCCCTGCTGACATTGGTTCAGGAACCCAAACTCTAGTGTAGTAGTAGGAAATGGCTCTCAAAAAATCCTTGATAATTGATTCTGCCAATTATTATCTGGAGCCACACCCAAGATTAAATCTTCTAATGAGGCTCTGTTGCATAATTAACCTTTCCCTTCTGTTCCCCACCCCCAGTTTTTTTTTTGTTCTGGAGTTGTCAATTCTTACTGTTACTCTTGTCACTGACCAATATCTATCCTTGGAATTCTATCAAAACCATGTCATTGTCAATTTATATCCCAATCTGAATCATGAAGTTTATTCGGGTCATGAAACAAAGAGATTCTTTTAAAAATGACACATTTTAATTATGAAGTAAAGATAAAAAATCAGCAACACATATCACCAAATAATATCCATGAATCCATGATGATTCAATTACACTAATGCCCTAGAGTGGGGACAAAATTATCCAGAACATGGTTGATAATCTGTGCATGTTACGCCATCCATCCGCCTACGACAAGTACTGTATGTGCATATTCCTACACCAAGGACACAGACGTTTTCATTCATGTTTTAAAATGAAATTTTCTTATAAACTACATTAATTACATCTATGAATAACATTTCATCATCAGTAATCCAAATTGATAAAATGGTATTTATATTTTTTCTTCAGTTATGTTAAGACACCGCTGTCATTGGGCAACCTGTCTGGAAACCATTTTGTTATCATTTTAAGGTATGTGTATGCGAATGGTACTGCTATAATTAAATCAAACAAATGTTAACAAAAATTTATTTTAGAAAATTATATGATTTGTAATATCCGTAGTTTTTTTTTTATCTTATTCGGTATGAGTTAAAAACTGGTTTGACACCTGGATACAGGTGGCTTGACACCTGGATGCAGGTGTCAACAGGCATTGTAATAGGTTTCATGTGTTTGTATAATAGACAGTAGTTACAAGTATAGTGGAGCTAAATAAAAAGCTGAAAGGTGTGCATGGTCTGTATTGTCTATGGACCCTCTTTTGCCCCACCATGGATACTTACTGTATCAATGGCAGGAAATGGAATTCTCAGGCTAAGTTTTCATTTTCAAAAATTGTTCTCTATATGGCTTTAAGAAAGCATCTTTTTTACAACAGATAAACAAAAAGCAGAATGAACCATTGTAAGCATTACTATTAGGATGTCATTGACGGCTATTAGGCCACCATTTTGTCTAGATAAAATGTGGCTATACTGTACTGCTTTGCAATCTATCACAAAACCTCAAGGTGTACCAGAACAGCAGAATAAATTTGGGCTGGCTTTGTGGTTATGATGCATATTCAGTCTAAAATATGGCTACAGTATAATCACTTTATCACCAGCAATTGCGGGATTTTACTCACATCCGTTAGCACCTCTTCATAATAACTCTCATAAGTCACTCCACGCACAAAGACACGTAATCCGTGGCTTCACACATATTTACATCATTGGCTTAGCATGTCAATATCAATGCAGTTTTACTTTATGTCTGTACACCAAGATAAATCAGGATATAAGAATACCAATAGCTTAATATAGAGTATATATATATTTTATAGTAGTAGTTTTTTCCATCCAATAAATTGCTCGTTCCTCTTCCAGTTGTCTTTTGGATAGGAGGGGGAAAAAAAATCTTGGGATGAAGTACAACTGTTGATGAAAAAACAACTTTGTACATTTACTAAAATAGAGAATTTTCTCCTTGACACCCCACCTCCTCCCTCCTTGGCAACATCACTGGTGACATTTCCTACAGAACTTCTGTGTATCTGCATTTTAAGGCAATTAGGACAAGATTGAGAGTATCCAGGAATCCTTTATTCCCTTTCTGTTTGCTGTATTTTGGTTTACCTATTGGCTTTTCACTTTGGTAGCATGCATCATAGTACTGTACAATAAATACATTAAAAAAATTTCTTATGCAAACCTATCGGTAAGCCAATCAGTCAATTATTAAATTTTATACCTGATTGTATAAATGAATTTTTAAAAATCCATTCAATGAAATATAAAAATGCAATAAATATAATATATTTATTAATACCAAAGTTGACCACCGCCAATCACTAGGACTTTTATTTCAAATAATGACAACAATATGTCTTTATTCCCTTTATATTTGCAATAGATAATATTTACATTTAATCAGAATCAAATACCTTGTAATATATTTTATTTCCTTGTGAATTCGTTGAATTGATCAGTGATAAATTTTTTTCCCTGGAGAACAGGTCCCTGGTACGGTTATTCACCAAACGGTTTGCCTGCTAATTGGCACTCACTCTCAACAGCTGATTGCCTCTGTTCCTTGCTTACTCTCTGTATTTTTGATATATTTAAATTTCAGAATTATGCTTCGTATCTGTAACAGAATTTGTATATTTCACTGATGGAGGCACCAACTGAGGAAGCAAAAATAAGCTCCCCTGCCTATACAGGCCGAGCTCCTTTCTCCCCAAGAAAGGGAAAAACCATAGTGCAGGCTAAAACATTCAGAACAGCTTAAAAAAAGGCCATGCCAGAGCTTCGATCCTAGAACCACAGAGGTATTATTGAGAAGGAGATCACTCGCAAAAGCTTCGCACACACAACACTATGCAGTTTCCACCTTAAAGCTAATACATTTATCTTTCAAGAAATACCAAACATAATTTGTACAAAAAAGAGTTTCAAATTTAATGAAACTTTCAACTTGAATTTCTATAAATTGGATAAAACTCGATAATTCTAATTTGAACAGATATTAATTGGAGTGAGTGAGAATTATAATATATCTAAGTCATGTTAGGGTGAACGAGAGTGGACTATTTGCAAATTCAGTCCAAAGTAAGAGTAATTTTTAGTTGCCTCAGCTTTAGTCAAATCAGTTAATCTTTAGACAGAATTATAATGAACACAGATCTAATTGCAACAGAAATATTTTGCGGAATCTGTTACATAATATACATACTAAAAGTCCTAAAGAATAATACCCATATTTGGGTGTAATATGACATCATCATGGCCATATTTGGTCGCAGCACATTAATTTGTCACATAAAATTGAAAAGTGTGTAAAAATATTATGCCGAGCAATTAAAATAGAAAAATAAAATTAAACATTTTTTAATTGCCTATATAGCATTACAAGTTAGTAGATTGCAATTTAAAAGGTTTTCCGGACCAATTAACAAACGATTTAAAGAATTCCGCTCATTATATACTACTTTCAAATTGGCCAGCAATCAAGATTTTAGTAAATCAGCAAAAAAAAATTTTTTTATGTGCCTCATTGGAAATTGATAACCTATTTATCAATTTAATTGAGCAATTAAATTGTTCTCAGTGAATTTGTTTTTTTTCCCTTAGATTTCAACATACTGTAGGCAGTATATCTTCCTTTAACAATAATTCAACTTTAATTGTTTGTATTAAACATCCTACAATATACTAGGCCTAAATATTACATTATAAATCATTGTTTATTGAGTATAACCATAGAAAGGCATTTTAAAATTTAGATATGTTAAAGCATTATTTACAAAAAATCCCTCTGAAGATAGACAACTGATAAAATTCCCTGTCATTTTTCCTATCAATTCTGAAAAACAGCTTTACAATATGAACCACAAATAAATTTTATATTAAAGTGGAGTACAACAAATTAGAAAGTTTGTTATTGTAAAATATGCACATTAAACCAAGGACTTTTATTGATTAAACTTATCTGAAACACTGAAACCCATTTTTTTTCTTCAAAATACAGCTTAATACATATTTTTCAAATAAGTTTTTTAAGATATATGAAATTGATGTGGCATATAACATAACTCATTTTATCAAGGCTTTTCATATGAACAGTTAAAAACCATAGAAACCCATAATAATAATGCCTTACTTTTACTTTTGAAGATTTTTTTTAAGTTACACAAAGATTTAATTAATTGATTCATTCATTTAATTTATTAAAAGGGATTAGCATCTTTATAATAAACCCAAAGTAAATTTTGTTTTTTATGTACATCATCAAAATAGAATACATTATTGTAGTGTGCTTAAATTGCAGCATCTGCCGGGCAATAGTTTGGAATTATTGTATTTCATTTGACATAATATGTATCCTTACAGCGTAATCAAATTAACGCAGAAAGGTCAAGTACATGGTTAGTACAAACCGTCTGATGGCCATGGCCACAAGTACAATATCTTTGATTGGCTGTCTTTGACCTCATGACAGGTTACATTGTTGAGCTTTAAAACCATCGCATATACAAAACGAAATTGAAATATCAAGAACATTGTCGCTTTCTAAACACACTATTGTTTTCCTGATAAATAATGTGACACTTAGCACATTTTATTGATGTGCTAATTTTGCAATATGAAACAAAATTATTAATATAATGATATTGTTTTTGTCGAAATGAGAGTTTAATGTTTATGAGAGCTGAAAGTGAATGCTATACAACAGTACTTAAATGAACTTCATTAACTTTTACATGGTATTATTTTATTGTCGCACTGATAGACAGAAACGGCAAAGAGCAGGGAGATTATCTAGAAAAAGTTTGCTCCCAAAGCCTCCTCCTCCCATAAAAACCTGCTGAGCAAAATAAGTCGGCCTACACTCAAAGAGTTAAATATCAAATCATGTCACCTTATTTCTGTATCTAGTTACTCTCACTTTCCCATCACATTCTTCATCATCCCCCTACCTCCTAACTAGGTGTGTCACTGGCATCGGTAAATATTTAAAGTGACAGAAATATTAAACTAATCAGAAGAATGTTAAACAAAGTATTTAAATATATAGTGACTTTTGATAAAAGCTATGTTTAGCCTTGTTCTAATTTTAATGTATATGCTTATCATTTGATTGAACAAGTTTAAACATAGCCTTTATCACATCGCAGGCATAAAGTTAGACCTTGTAATGTGCATGGACATTCAGACATTTTAGCTCAACCGGTAGGTAAAGTCACAAGCTAGGTTCATATGGGATTATAGCCAGATGAAGTAGCTGATCTACTTGCCAAGTTAATTGGATTAAATCCACTAATCACGTTCGACGTTAAGGTTAGAGCGAGATATTTTGACTACCAGAAATTCGGAAAACACATCATTAGACAGGAAGTACAATCGCATGGTGTGTAATTACTGTTGATTTTCGCGTGACTAGTTTATGCTAGATCGAGACTATAGGAGTAAGCTAGGCCTAGGTCTCGGCGGTTGATTAGACTGGCCGAGAAGTCCAGCTGGAGGGTTTACACTGGGTTTTCCCCCAAGTATTTCGTTTAGCGCGTGGTAGTCTGGGCATGCCGATTTCGGGTCATCCCTTATTACATTGGCCGACCCCTTGCCCGTCCCACGAATAAAAACGTCTCTCACAGCCTTGTGGTATATGCTCTTAGATTTTTCAACTTTGTCACAACAATTGCCGATGTTATGCTATTGTGGCCTAAGTCCCGCATTCTCTCTGCAATCCTTTGGACACCAGCCTTCTGACGGTACAATTTATCTTCAACTTTTTCGGCGATTTCTGGCTCCCTCCAGATATCTATTAAATCACATTTCTGCGCATACGTCCAGAGATGGCGTTTCTTTACTGACTTTTCGACCATCATTTGCAAAATAAGACTTGTTGAAATTAAAGTACACAGATCAGGGAGACTGCGTCAATTCTGAATGGTGTTTATGATAGTAACTAAAAAACGCGCTAACCAGCAAGCATGGAAGGTCATTTTGCTTCAATTTGAATGGTGTATTCGTGACCTGTGGCCACCCGCTGTTTAATTGTTTACTGGCTTTAGACTGGATTAAGAAGTTAGTCGACATAAATTTACTCGACGGGCTTAGTCGAGTTGTGGCCTTCATCTCGCCATACTTGAGTGGTCATACTCAAACTTATGGCGAGATCTTCTAGCTCATCCACTAAAATTATCTCGCCATAGTTGGATATGAACGTGGCTACAGAGCTTTAACTCTTAAGTTATTAATGTATCAATACTTAAAGCATCAATATGTGATGACTCATCAGTATCAGAATCACCCTCAGACTTGTGGGTAAATAGGTCAGACACACTCTAAACTTGGTGAACATCAATGCATAGACTATTACTGTAGTTGCAGTGACTTTATGCAAAAAAAAAAATCTATATAGAAAAAAAATAAAACATGGACCTGGGAAACTTAGCTTACCCTGGGTAATCAAAGAAGATCGGAACCTTGAGAATTCAATGCATAAGTACCCATAAATCAAATCAAGTCTCAATATGTAACAATAATATTACATATAATGATATTGTAATAATGTCTTTTTTAAGTGTTTCAGCAACTGGCAAATCATTATTCACTTGTGTTATCAATGAAAATAAAGTATTCTTGATTCTTGATATTATTTTTTTTTTAAAAATTAATTAGAGGTTATTAAATACTACCCTGGCAAGTCTTTGCAGATCTTGGAGAGGCCTTCACCCTTTAGTGGTTGATGATGATGACCTAGAGCAAAAGTATAATCTAATCTGGATATATTAAATAAAATATACTAAAGAAATAATTGCATATTAATTATACCCTACCCTGGCCTCTTAGTGGTGAAACTTTAATATCTACTATATTCTTCACAATGAAGGAGGCTATGTATGTAAGCCATTATGGTGCCCTGGAAAACATGGTGATTAACCAAATATAGACATTCGCAAAAGATAAAAATACTACCCTGGAAAATTATTGTAAAACATACCCTACGCATCTATGTTTATGCTGGGAAAACAGATTTTTTATACTGGCCAGATTTTAAAATTATATGATTAAAGTCAAATAATACTAATCTTAAGAAAAATCTATGAGAACAGTCCCCTATCTCTAGCCCCAACCTGTGAAACTTAGACTCATTAAACTTAGAAGACCCGACTCTGGATAAGCAAGAAATAAGTAAATGCTACCCTGGGAACATATTACAAGGAAATATTTAAGCTGAGATTATATTTTTGAACATGTGTTTTCCAACTAAGCTTCAAAATGGCATTTATAAGCACAATCCATTATATTTATTTTACTAACATTGATAAAGTACAGTTAACATGTAAAGTTTTGCACTTTTGCATTATATAATTAGTAATGAAATATCAAGGTAAATCTGGCAACCAATCAGCTGATGTCCTCTAACCTCCACTATCACATCTCCCTCCCCTGATCTTTATACCTGACACATGGTGAATGTATTTCGCTCTTGATTCCCCACCCCAGGGGAACCTCTACATGCTTCTCAATGGTTTATGAGTCACATCAACATCAGCTGTCTTATCAGCAATCCCACTGAAGGTAACTATAAGGTCAAATATTTAGTTTAACTGCTCAATTAATTTCAGAATTTACATAATTAGATCATCTGATTTCATATTTTTAGAATGCCATGCTTATAAACAAAATTCCAAAAAACATTATATCATATATAATATATATGCTATGAAATTAGATTACCGGTAAATTAGTACTGGTAATACAGAATGATTGGTTGAAGAAGATATTTTGAAACTTTGGCCTTCGAAAGAGCATAATGCCAAGGTCATTCTGAAGTGAAGACGCATGGTTCAACAACTTAAGGGTCAGCTCGAAAAAGTACATCACTGTCACATAAATTTTATTAAAATTATTGATAGATTCTGATAACCTTTGAATAACTCAACAGGATTATTTAATGTTTAATTATCTTAAAATTGTAGGACATTCCATATGTTAGTTGCATTCACATGAGATCCGAATTAAAATTGGGACTGTATTTTCGATGCGCTGAAGGCCAGCTTCTCTTTTCTTACACACTGATCCGATTTTCTTATCGGTTTGTTAGGCTTTCCGGACCGGAAATGTGGATTCAGTGTGAAAACACCTTTAACATGATAAACCTATATGTCAATTATTTGATAATATTTGGGTCTAATTATTTATTATAAATCTGTGATATTCTCACAACGTCATAGGAGATGGAGAAGAAAGTCATCCAGTCCAGACAGGGGCCTTGTCTGCTTTTCATCCTTGGTGACTTTCTTATCTAATTATGTAGGCGATTTTAATTTTTTCTTTAAAGCTCTGTAAAGACTATCACATAATTATTCTTTGACAAAAAACTGATGTATGCCCATATATAGTCATGATGTGATGTCATCATGACCATATTTAGGCATGTCGCATAGTCTGGGTAGGGTTAAAATGTTCTGGATAGAATTAAAATGTTTCCACATGTACAGTAGGGCCATACCCATTGTTTCCATTGAGAGGTGGAACAAATTTACAATCAGACTGAGACCTGCCTAGGGCCCTCTTTCACATTCAGATCTTTAAAGAATTGACATAAAGTAGACATTAATATTGTACTACTTCAAAGTCAACTGTGGTTAGAAGGTCAGACATGGTCTCATGTTGTGACTTTCTATTACAAAAGTAGATGTAACCTATTAAAAAGGGGGTCCCTCCAAGACTATTTTTGATTGACATTCAATGTGAACCAGGTCACCCCTCATAGAAGCTGATGACGATGACTCATTTTACTTGTGAGTTAAAACAGAAGCAGCCATGTTTTATGAATTGCTATTCGTCTGCAAAACGAGCACTTTTTCCCAGGGCATAAATTAAAGCCAAGCAACTTTACACATGTCAGTTCTAAAAAACTGCAATCTTCTTTCAATCATTACTAACAATGATATCCCATAAAAAATTATTATATTATAGGAGACAGTGGCATAACACTCTCTGGCTGAAACCAAGGCTCCAGACAAGAGTTGCCAAATATTAATCAGCATATAAGTCCTAAATCATCTTAGCGAGGCTCCTTGAAATGAGCTTAATGTGTAAAATAGATGTTAAAATATGCCATTTAAAACATCAAAATTGCAGGAGTGGATGTGGTGGGGGTTTCACATGATAGTCTCACACGTGGATATCCACAGATCAACATAGACTCATACTGTATGTTCACATGTTAAACATACACATATGAAAGTCTTACATGTTCACAACATGGCAGTCTCACATGTTCACATGATAATCTTACATTGTTATGATACATTTTGATTTGTCATTTAGCTTGATGTAAATGAAACTACATGCTACATTACAACTAATCACAGGATAAAGAACTAAAGGATGTTAACATTTTCCAGGCATAGAATGATTTGTAACTTGTAACAGCCTGATGGGATTGTCACACACTAATTCTGAATGTTCCCACTCTTGTTTAGAAGTTAAAACAAGGAACACATGCAGTAAATATCCATTAGAAATTGAAACTGAAATTATAGTAATCTTAAAGCTTAATACCAAGTTTAATTGCTTTAATTGCTTTTAATGAGACAAAAACCAAGTTTAATGAGTTTCAGTTTGATTCAAGTTTTTTAGCTCAAGCATTTTATAGGATAACATTTTCTTTAAAGAAAAGTTTCAATCATCACTGAGCCCATGCATTGTGGAGGGAAAATTACAGAGCTAAAAATCAATAGTTATTAAAGTATTACATTTATTATAAAGCTTGATAAGGAAATAGTGAAACAGATTTCCCTGTTTATATTTAGTAAATTTTCTGTTGTGTGAAACAGATGTTAGTTAAAAATAATTATTTTTTCAACACCAGGATTTTGAATATTTTGGGGTAAAATAAGTGTGGTAGCACTTATTTATCAAATCAACAAAGTTTGAAATTGTGACAGTTAAAATGGGGAAATAAAAACCATAACATTTTTCCTTCTGGATTTTCTAATCTTTTCTTTATTCAAGACAATTGATCTTGCAGCAAAGAGCTGAATTGCATCAAATTAACAACTGAAAAAGTTCATATTCCTTCATTGACACCATTATTAAGTTTTAGAAAATGTTACAAGGAAAGATGGTGTGTTCACTCAAAGATGATAGTTTTGTTGATCTATTTAAAATTCTGCATGTTTTCTTTAATTGTTCTAGAAATGTTACTGGAGAGGATGATGCCGTGAACAAAGCAATGTGTTCTCTCAGAGATATTGGGTTCATCAACTATTTTGGGATGCAACGTTTTGGAAACTCTTTGATCGCCACCCATGAAATTGGCAGGTAAATAACTTCCTGGTATGATTGAGATCAATAAATAATCATTCATTTGTTGGATTTACTGTATGTACCATTCCAAATCCCTTGATTACAATCTCTCACATACTTTAATATATGTTCATTCGTCACCGATGCATCAACATTTATATAATATACAATGGAAAAATTAATGAAGGTAGAAGAATAATCAGAAATGTGACGTTATTGTGCTGAAATGTGTATGGGCATAGTCCTTGTCTACAGTAGCAGCCCTAGAGAGGCACTTAGTAGATTCTTATTTACATCCTTCCACAGCGACAAGGGCTATAATAAACCAGAGCATCAGGGTAACCCATATACTCTCCCAATAGATGCAAAAAGTGTACACAAGCCAGATATGTACGCTTGACCCCCGTGAAGACATTGTTCTACCAAACGATCCATGTGCAAGGAGTGTCTTGCCTCAGAGAAGTTGGTTGAAACACAATGGAGGAAATGCGAAATGGGTAAGTTGAGTGGCTGATCGGTAGCAGAGGCACCTAGTGGTGTGCCCCTGCTTTACTGTTCAGCCACTCAACATACCCATTTCACATTTCCTCAATTGTGTTTCAACCAAATTCCCTAGGGCTATTTTTATATTGATAAGCCAATTCTTAAGAGCAGCAGTGAATCATTTGTTTGGCTCGTCAGATTTGAATCATTGAAACTGACAGGCCATTGTTCTACCGCACAAAAATGCAGTGTCAGCGCCTGAGATTCCCCAACGAGGGGCCCAAGATCCCCAAAAGGGGTTCAAGTTCTTCGGTTAGTTTGTCTAAGATCCCAGACAAGGGGTTCACACGCACCTTAGCAACACCATGTTGGGCGCAAATCTTAACAGTATGCATCTCTAGATGGCTTGAAATAGCAACTAAAATTCAGACTAAAAAGCCTTTTTAAGGCAGTGTTTCCCCTGTCAGGGTACTGTTCTCCCATAGACCACGCTAGTGCCTAAAATGCAAAAATGTAAAATACATAGTTTCTACTACCACAAGTTCATTTACGTTCATGTTGCATCCAATGTTCACATGTCGATGAGTCACTTTCATGTTTGAATAATTTCAGGTTACTCCCATCTTTATATATCAAAAATGAAAGTCATATAGATATCAGATTACATTTCATTTTTTAAAATTTTAATTCTATTTTTAGAAAATGCTGGTTATGATATATTATGATGGCATTTTCTTAATTTATGATATGTTGTCATAACCTTGAAAAATTACTGCATTCTTGACTGCCAACTTTGTTGACAGGATTGGCTAAGTATAAATATAAATAAGGATGAAGTGATTGTAAGGCCAAAAAATGGTGACCAACCACAGTGATCAGCACCCTCCAATTCAAGACCACCCTTGGGAATGAAAATTAAGGGTGGTCTTGGAGCTCGGCCACCATCAGATAGTTAGGTTTGTGTTAAAAGAGGGAAGATTTGGTTTTTTAATAACGTCGTCTCGAATTGGTGAGGTCTCTAATTGGAGGTGCACTGCATAGGGCTTAGGTAGACCTATTCATTGCTAACCAGATCACTCAATATTACAGTCTGGTTGGTAAAAATGGTAACCATGGTGCTGAAATCGATAGCTAAGGTATCAAATTTATTAACAGAAGCTGACTCTAGATTTGTAAAGCCCTGTCCAGACTATCAAATTTTATTTGACAAAAAAAAACATGTGACGTGCCTAAATATGGTCATGATGATGTCATCATGACCATATATAGACATATGACTATATATGGGCATACAACAGTTTTTTCAAAGAAAATTTGATAGTATTATGGACAAAGCTTTAGGTTTTGGGTCAGAGTGTTGTGGGATTTTTTTTGTTTTTTGTTTTTTTTCAAGTGTCTCAGTTTAAAAGCTTTGCTTTACTGTATTAAGTTCCCTTTTCCATTAATCTTGAATCATGCAGAAATGTACATTTTGTTTCTTTTATTATGGAATAAAATTTACTTACTATATTAAATGATAATGATGATAGTGATTAAGGATAATGACATAAATATCATAGGTCTATATTTAGATTGTCAAAATCCACATTTCTTTATATTTGTTTCCATTCAACAACTAATAACTGCAATGTATACAGGTGATACCGTAGTGGAATTCACTAAATTGCAATTCAAGCATATTTTTGCTATTGACATTTCTTGGCCCATGTTCATAAATATAAATGAAATCAATACCCTACAATACATCAATATGTGACTATAAAGTCTACAATATGTGTCTAACTAGGTTTTCTCACTGGGAATCTTGTCTAAACCACAATTTTTAATCCTAGCATTAATATTCTCTCCGTGTGAAATGTTATCATTTTGTCACTGAGTGATGGACTTCTTTGTGCCTATTTTTAGTCCATCAGACACATCTAGTTGTAGTTAAGCTGTTAATGTGTTCTGTATCGAGGACTCGACCACAATGAATGTGTATTTTATAGAGACAGTATGTCTGTGATTATGAAGGAAATTAAATGAGATCTGCAGATTGTTTCGGGTTTATGGAATGGGCCACTGGCCAGTTCACGTCACTCGGTAACTCTTTGCCTGCTCATGCGTGGAGATACCCATTAGGAAATGAAATAACTTCCCTGAGAACTCATTTCCAACAGGACAAGGTTAATGAATCATAAAAATTTTAATCATATTCAGCAGGTGAGAGGGAGATGTTCAGTTGATTATGTCAAATGACATGATAAATTCATTTTATAACCAGCAGGCAATACTATTTTGATTAACTTTTATTTCTGACAGAGCTATACTTTTACGGAATTGGCAAGAGGTCATTGAACTTATACTGAAGCCCCGTGATGAAGGTGAGTTGTCTCAAGTTATCTCTCTCCCCCCCCCCCCCAACTTTCAGTTGTTATATTGACAGTTTTCAACCATTCCAACACATGTCATCATGCCCTCTGCCTCTGTATGTTATGCAACTTCCAAAAAATGGATATGGATTTAAGGTTTAAATTATTTGTCAATAGTAGGTCATTCACTTTGGAATGACTTCCTTTAAAAAGTTTCATGTAAGGGAATTTGAACTGATTTTAAATTATGTCCATTGACCCAGTTGGTTAAGGTGCTCGCATATAAAACCAAGGTTCAAATTCGAATTCTGGTTTGGGCGACATTCTTCACTATTACAAATTTCTCTATTACATTAATTTACTCAAAATTCATCGTATTTCTTCCCATTATATTTATTAAGGCTTCGAATAAACTAACCAATTAAGTTTGTTTGTTGTAGCTGATGAGAGAGATAAATGGCGTGTGCATTGGATGGAAACCAAAGATGCAAACAGCACCCTGGAATTGTTGCCAAGCAACAAACGACACTCAGCTGAGAAGGAGCTTCTGCTGGGCATCCTCAAGTACCCTGGAAAACCTATCAGTGCACTATCTTATGTGAGTATAGTGTGTACTGCATTCTTACTTAATAGTGTATAAGATTTTAGAACTAAACTGTTCGGTAAAAGCAACATAATACCAATTTGATGCTCCACCAACTGAACTAAAACCATCCTAGCTTGTAATAGTTATTCCCAACACAGTTCTTTCTTTCTATCCAAGCCCCTTCGAGCGAATACAGTATACTATACTTTTTAATACAAAGGCAAGTATAAATCAGTAAAGAAATAAATATAAATATCATCACATCATTTGCATACAGTTTGAGACTAAAAAAAAAATCATGGCTAGAATATCTGATTTCAGAGTAATGGGGTAAATAGATATGATGGTGATTATAAATTATTCTTTAATTAGATTCCCCGCACAACAAGAATGATGTATGTACACAGCTACCAGAGCAAGATTTGGAATGCCATGGCAACCAAGCGTATACAAGAGTATGGATTAAAACCAATGATAGGAGATCTAGCTATAAAAGCGAATGGTATGTAACAAAAGATTGATATGTACATTTTATGTAATTTTTACAATGTTTTTATTTTTTAAGCATATAAAACATTATTGTAATTCATTTGTTGGTAGCAATATTTAAGTTTTTAGGGCCTCACTGGTTACAGATAGTATCTGTAATTCTATATTCATAACGTGTTCCATCTTTCGACATTACGCTTTCCACAATTTGTTTCCATTTGTTTCTGTTCAAGGCAGTAGTGGCGTTTCTAGGGGAGGGCGCACACCCCCCCCCCCCCAAAAGTTACTCCCCCAGAGGTCTTATTTAATTTGGCTTATCCAGTTATTTTTTGGGTCTTCCTCAGTATAAAAACGTGAAACAATATGTTGAGTGGAGTGTGCTTGATGTTTAAGAAAGAATATCCGATTGTGACAGGTGGTTTAGCTCCTGAGAGATTAGATCCCAACAGATCATACCCCAATGGATCACACCTCAAAGATCAGATACATTATGATGATCAACTTACTGGTCATCCTAACATTTTTTTCACATCCTGCAGATACAGACGGTGACTCAGGCAAGAATGTGACTGTATTGTCTGAAAGCAATTTTAGTAAGTTCAGCTTTGAAGATGTTGTGTTACCTCAACCTGGCTACAATATTCAATATCCTACACATTCAAGTAAGTCTTTTTATAGTTCAGAAATTTGGGAATGATAGTTCATCATCCTATAGGTCAAAGCTTCTCTCACAGTCAGCAGTGTGAAGCTGTATCAGATGTAGCGGGTCAGCATTCAGTAGTTTAAGGAGTGGATGTCTGATATTACAGGAGTCAGTGTCTGTTATTGTAAGGAGGTTAGTTCCCAATATTGTGGTGGGGGGGGGAAGGTTCTCCCTGATGAGTTGGTGTCTGTTATTGTACTCGAATCTGTGTCTGTTAGTGTAAGCATTGGTATCCTGTTGAGCAGGTGTAGGGTATTGCAAGGGGCAATGTCTGATATGATATATTGTATTTTAATATTTTTACTATATTTGTATAGATTCATATAAATATACTGTTTTACATTTTTCTTAACTGTAAGCTGCGATTTGTTGGTTTGCTGTTGGTGGAAATATATAAATAAATATACAGTGTCAACATCTGTATGAAAAATTGGTGTATTGAACACAGTTGTATCTAAATGTAAATCTATGAAAACTCATTGCAATGTATATACTCTAAACATAACTTTAAACATATGTCATTTCAGTTGGTCAACTTTATAAATCAATGATGGAAGAAGATGGAGTGAGTTTACAAAGTTTACGGCATGAGGTTAAGTAAGTTCTGCCTTTATATTGGAGATGCAAATTCAAAGCAACTGAAAAAATGTCATTAAGAGAAGTCCATTATTATCATCATCCTTGTCATCATCATTATCATTGTTACCATCACACTATTACAGTAGTGTCATCATCACATGATTGATCACATCATCTCCACCATCATCGTCTTCATCACAATTTTTACCATTACTGTATTATGCGCCGTTGTCTTCCTTATCATCATTTACCATTATCAACATCATCATTATCACCATCATTATTGTGCTTTCTTTTTTTTTTTATTGCAGTTTTACACAAAAACAAACAAAACAGTACATAAAATAATCTTCAAAACTACATCCAGTAGTAAAATAATGCACAATTTCAAAAATTATTTTAGAAAAGGCAAGATAACATAGGTTAAAAAGAAAACTTGAACTTTTTTGCTTCTAATATAAATAATTTAAAAGTATATATTTTCTAAGCTACTAACCTACCAAATTTCATCATTATATTCTGCATTACTTAATAATTTCTTTTCGTTTCAGGGAGTACTCATTACCTGGTGCTTACCGCAAAGTAATAGTAAAACCATTGAAGGTCAAATGGTAAATAGATATGGCGATAATTTCCACTCGTTCAGTCTTCTTTAATCTGCCTTTAGTTTTAAGTGCAGAAACGTGTCGATTTCAAGTCAAAGCTTACCATTAAAATCCTTAGTCATGTTTGAAATAATTCACTCCAAAAAATAAAAATTGAAAACATTTGCCATAAAAAAAAAAAAAAATTAGGTTTATGTTCACAGTCACTTGATGCATACAAGTACAAGGGGCATTCCCATGTGAAAACGTGATAAGTCAGTTCAGTTCTACAAGTTTAAAGGGGAAGTCCTATGTGAAAAGGTGATAAGTCACGCAGTTCAGGTTATGAAAGCCTAAAAGGAGTATAGTTTGATGCTGTTAACTTAGTTTTTAGTAAAGATTAAAGAGGCAATTGTGTGATAACAGGATATACCATGCATTTCAGTTAGTTTTACATGTTTAAGGATAATTCCCGTCATAATGTAATAAGGCGCATAATTCAGTTCATTAAAGTTTAAAAATACTGCCCTAAGTTTAAAGACAGTCATGTGTGGCATTAGGATAAGTTGCATAATTCAGTTCATACAAGTTTAAAGTTGCAATCATATGTGACTTTATTATTGCTAAAATTTAGAACTTGATTTTTATTTCAGGTCAATAATAAAATATAATGACAGTCTTTTACCGCTGTCTCAATCAGATTTAGACATCATAGAAGGAAAAGCATCCCCACAGTCCATTCCAGGTGAGTGACAAATATTTCATGCAATCAACTAATTGGTAAACTAGAATTTCAAATGGTATTTATAACTTGCTGTGAAATGGATTGGAATTACTGTAAATTAAAATAAATAACCAACTAGATGTTTTCAAACTAATTATCTACTATTGATTTAGAAATAATATTTATCTCTTTGTATAGTTGATAATTTTGTTATAAAAACATAACTTTTTTTGTTTTCTTTATAAAAGATGGAAAATTGAAGGCCTTGAAAATGGAGTTCACTTTACCACCCTCTTCATACGCTACAATGGCAGTTCGAGAAGTAACCAAGATGGATACCTCAGCTAGTTTTCAGTCAAGCATAACTAAATACTAACCAATGTTTTTTTTACATGTCTGGGCAAAATCCTGAATTTCAAAATGGGGGTGAAATGGAAAAGGTTTTAGGAATCTATTTTTGTAATTAAATTGGTTAAAACAAGTTGGTGTGAGGACATCAACCACAATTCTGAAGTAGTGTCTGTGTTTTCCAATTTCAATGTGCTTTTGTTAATGCCACAAATAAATTGAATATTCAGACACTGATACTTATTTTTAGCTAATTTTTTTTAAGCTGTTAACATTTCATTGAGTATATTTTGTTGATGAGAAGCCAATTTAGTTTTAGTGTTGATGAGGTGTTGATGCCTAGCGATCCCGTTTAGTCTATTGATGTGAAGTCTGAATTTTCTGAAAACCTGTATTTCTGAAGATGCTTTCAAAAATTATTAAACATTTTGTTTGTGTGTACTCACATGGTCTTGGCAACCTCCCCTAGGAAAGGAAGTCTTGGCATAGCAGTCAACTTTTTAAAAGCTATGAGGAAATTCAACACAACATAAAGAAGACACATTGTCTGTACTTAAATTAATTGGAAAAGAACTTTATTCATCTGGTATCACTAGCAATATATATATATATATATATATCTTGTACATCTGAAGTGGTGGTCAGATATAACAATAAATGAGTTAGTAATGTGTTACAACCACATTACACTGTGGTGCAACACAATTCAAGTCTTACAGCTTTAGTCACCATGAAGACTTATGCATAGCATCCATTAGGGAGCTTGTGTTCACAATGACGTTGAGACGTACCTTGGACAAATTCACTCATTCATGGCTTTACTGCATTCTCTGCACATTCAGCCCAAACGTCTTTGGATTTTGAGGGCAAGTATTCAGAGTACTTGCCCTCAAACGTCTTTGGATTTTGAGGGCAAGTACTCAGAGTACTTGCCCTCAAGGACTTAAATTCTTTGCATGTGCAAATGTCTTTGATGTCATTACTTCCCTAAGTCTTACCATCATCTTGTAATGAAAATCTCCCTATTAATGGGATATATATTAATGGGAGAGCCTTGCACCTGTTATAAATACATGCATAACAACCGTTTTTGGATACTATAGGTTAATTGGAAGGGTTTGCAGGGGCAACTTTCACTGCAATTTCAGTAAATTATAGGGACTTGCAGATGTCATTACAATGCATATCAACCCCAATCAACTATCACACTGTGAATTAGGTAAATAGGTGGGAGAAGGTTACAGCTGTAATTAAATTTAATCACAGAATGAGGGGTTTACAGGAGTCATTAAACAAAATCGTTATTGGAGGTGGAGGCTTTACAGCTCTCCTTTAATTAACATTTGAATCATGATTAAATCATAATTGGGATTTTTTTTTATGAAATAGGAGCTTATATCTGCCAATCATCTAAAATAAATGCGAATCATGCAAAGCCGTCATGTGGGGAGGGGTTTGTACATGTATATCTCAAAATAATGACTCATGCGTAGCAGTTATTGGGATTTAGTTAAATGGGAGGGGCTTATACCTGTCAATCATCTAAAATCACATGATTCATGCATAGCAGTAATGGACCTTTCTGGAGTGTCAAACTAAACAAGTCAGAGCAGGGCCATAAACGCACATATTTTTGGGTACCACGCTCATTTTGTGGCGCCAGAAAATATAAATTCAAGGGGTGGGGGCTTAGAAGAAAGGTCCATTGGGAGGGGGATTATTCCCTCAATCATTTAAATAAATCACAATCATGACTCATGCATAGCAACAGTGTTGCATGATCTTTAGAAATGGTAAACAAAAAATATATCATTGCAGTAGGCCTATAACTGATAGTGACCCGATATAAAAATAATAATCTGGACATGATTTTTGAGTTGATTTTCAATCACAAAAAGTATAAAACTCTATGACAATCAACCACTGTACAAATTCCATTGTTGGATTCAGTAAAAATATTAACAACATGAACTGGTTCCTGTGACACTTTTGTCGTGTGTGGTACATTCACGTATACATATCATAAATATAGCACAGAATTTCATAAATTTGACTACTCTAAACATGAACACACTTTTTTGCACAATTAGACGTTTATCAAGAACAATTTAAGTAAGAAATATATCTGTAACAAACAATACAAATGATGATGGAAAAATTGTAAATTTAGTATGACAAAAAGCGTACCCAAAAAAGATATTTACAGCATTAAGATAGACATCATTATCGTAACATGAACTTTGATGTATTTTTTAAATGAGATTTAGTTATAATTTACAGTTGTACTTCCTGCTTATATATTTAATCATAAATTGATTAATGCTATCCTTGTTTTTACATAGGCAAAAGTTATCACAATTTCTTTTGTGTAATTATATACAGAAAACAGAATAAAATTAAAAACAGAAAGCCAAAAGACAATAAACCATTATAGATACACTCTCTGGAAAAACTCTAAAATTTTAGTTAAAATACTGATTAGCCTAATATTCAAATGAATAAAGTCAATTTTTTTTTTTGCTAGTATATGGGGACGTACTGAGTATTAGGTACGATAACACGTCAGGTAGGGCAAACTCCTATGATATTTTCCTGATGCAAACTTACATCCCAATTGTCAATTTTAAATGAGAAACATGATTTTTACTAAAAAGCCTTAAATTTATTACCAGCCAATTTAAACCTTTTTAGAATAGGCATAGAAATATATACTCCTTATTTTAAATTACCGTACGTTAATAACTTAATAAAGTAAAAGTGAAGGAGGCAGAAGTTCCAGACATGTCTGGAAATGGCAGTCTCAGGCTGTAAAAATGTTTTTTTAAAGCAGTGTTCCCAAAAACATTATTGGCTTCTCTGAGAGGGGGGTCAAGCATTCCCTGGAGCCCAGCTGGTGGTAATCAATTCAAATTTACAATTATGCCACCTCTAGATGGCACGGAAATGGCACTCTCAGACTTAAATTTGAATATAATAATCTTGATTTCTCCAAATTTTTACAATTTTCAAAAATTTAGGGGGTGGGGAGCCCAGGCCGGCTGGGCCTCCCTTGAACCCGCCACTAAAAACAGACAGTATATCGTTCAATGGTGAGCATCTACACAGTGACCAAAATGCATATAAGTAATATAACTGAAAAGCAGTGACATATAAGGGGCACCACACCCAGCACTTAAAATATGCTCAGCAGTAGTTACAAATAACCTCATTTTCCCAAATATAGTAGCACCCTACCCTTGTCAGTTCCCTGTTTCAATACTCCTAGATACACCACTGCTACAAAGCACATTCCTGGACAATGTGTAAATTCTGTCAAGGACAACCCAATGAGAACCCATGGCTCGTAATAATCGTCTTAGCCTGCAGCATTTCATGAAAGGCCTCCAGCGTTAATCACTCACCTGATTGCATTCTTTGAACTTTTGTTTTCTTTTTTGGTCAAGTTAATCTCTATCACTATTCAATAATAAAACAATAATATTCAATAAATCAACGTATCAAAATTGCAGCAAGAGTGATTCATACATGAAATATGGCTGAATATAAATGCCATATTACAAACGGCATCTAGTCACCTCAAGGGGTCGAATTAACTGAATTAAAGCCTAGTAAAGCAACTGTGTCCTATTTTTGGTTGGTTCACATCAGTGCTGGCACCAGGATTTGCCCAACGGGGGTGGGGGGTCCGAAATCCCGGATGAAAAAAAAGTAGGCGTGGTTGGGCTCAAAATCTATCAAAAGTGTTCCTTGAGGGCGAAGCCTCCGAAAAATATGATAATTTAGGGGTTTCAAAGGCATGTTTAATCAATTTTGGAGTCTAATAATAGGTAGAAAATACATATATTCTTTTTTCCCCGATGAATTGTGGTTTTTCTCCCCGATGGGTATAAGAGACAGGCGCCACCCCTGGTTCACATCTCAATAATTCATGCTTGTTCAAAAAACATGCATTCTGCAAAAAAGCTATCATGAACCTCGTAGACTCCTTTAACCATTAAAATGCATTGCACACTCAAGTGAATTTTTTTTCCCATAGCTGCTTTCAAATATTTTTCTTGTTGAAAATCCAGATGATGATAAACCTGATAAGTATGGTGAGCCTAGCCTCACCTCTCATTATCGTGCCAAATGGTGTACAATATAAAAATAACATAGAATTATTATGATTTCAAATGATGAAATTTTAAACATCCGTTTCATCCACTTTCACTCCATATAAAATCTGAGACACTGAGGCAATTTCCCCCTCATCACTGTCCACTATACCCAGATACAACTTCCGCTTTTCAAAGACTTATCTATGACACGTAACTAGCTGTTTGTAAGTTCACTGGATCTAAGTTCTTTGAGCTGAAGAAAATTTTGCAAAGTGTCTGGCAACTCAAGGCTATCTATTCTCTGTAAGCCGTACTGCCCTAGTTGTTTGCGTACAACAATGGCGCATAGTTCCTGCAGAGTTCGTGGCGTTTGAGAAACTTGTCTCAACCATTTACACATCTCCTGGTGTTTGGCAAGTTGCTTTGGTATTACACCGGTTTTCTGAATAAAGAAAAAAAAAATATTTGCAATGATATTCATGGAATACAGTTTTTTTTTATATATTTTTAAAGAAGATATTAACAATAATTCAAATATAATAATAATAATGATAATAATAATAACATGAAAATTTATATAGCACACAATTCGACTTAAAAAGAGTACAATCACAGTGCTTATTTCACAATTGGATATTAAGAGACTGTTCTATGCTTTAAAAGCAATTTCCTGATAAAACACAAGTTAAAAAAAAATGTAATACAGTATTATTAATAATTAATAATATACATCATTTATAATAACTAATAGAAATATGAATAATTCATTAACAGCACATCATTAACAGCAATGCAACAAAAGGACTTGAAAAGGTATTGTTGCTGCTGCTATACCTGTTTCCATTATTATTATTTATTATTTTACTTTGTTTTGACATCAGAAAATATATAGAATCTAAAATATCTAGAAATTTTTTCTAAATGTTAATAAAAAGAAATAAAACAAGTGAATATCATCAAATAATTACCTAAAACTGAAAATGGAATAACCTAATTAGGAAAGTGATAAGCACCTATAAGCAAATGTATGTAAATCGGAAAGCCAAGGAAAAGCAGACCCTTGCAAAGCAGTCTGGTGTTGGTTGAGCTGTTAGGAAGGGTTTTTTTTAAAGGTAAGATTACTCAATGTTATGAGGCTCAGGAAGCTATCAACTGTTCCTTTTACTGAAATGGTACTAGTATCCATACAGTGATAGTAATAACAGTACACAGAGCTACCATGAAGCTATTATGATAAGCTTGTAAGCTTACATACTAACAGTGAAAATGATCTATGACCATGATTACAATTAAAGTACAGTATCAATATTAGGACTTTCTAATTTTTTCTAATTCGGGAAGATGTAGTTTTTAATGAGCACCTTTTAATATTTACTTTGCACAGACCCAAGGCCAAAAAACTTCAGGTAGATAATTAATATAATAATACAATAGTAGAAATATGCAAACATTCCTAATTTGCAAGCGATGGGTTAGTTTGTTGAAGGTTTTTGCTTGCTTGTGGGAGTGCATCCAGTGGACTTCCACTACCGCTGAAAATATTAATATTTATTTATTCTTTCTTTTGACTGAATAGCATTTTCAAAATAATCCAGTTTTCTTAACAAAGTTAAGAATATAAACAGGTAAAATATTAAACTGAATAAAACAGTATCAAAAAAGGAGAAAAGAAAAACCCAAATTATACATGGCAAGATAAATGACAAAAAGTTCAAATTGCAAATAAAAATTCAAATTAAAGTAAATTAGCACAAATGGTATTTTTTAAATTGACTCTGGTTTTCTGATTATTCCAAAGTTTGGCTGATCGGTATTCCTTGAGTATTTTCTCAGTTTGGTACTACTAAGGTTTTACTGCTTTGACTACGAGTGCATTTAGGATGGACATCAACATATATATTGAAGATAAATATTATGGTGCATAACCATGTACACTTAAATAAAACTACAATTAAATGTTCTCTCCATCTTTCATTAAGTGGCCTTAGCAATACACTATGTAAGACTAGTGCTGTTGTTTCTTTGCAGATTCTAGCTGACTTCAGTCTTGCAGTATATCAGCTAAACATGTCCAACTGGCTAATTAAAGCGGTTCTTCTCGTGGTTCTGGTGTTCGTCTGCTGTGAAGCGCGCACAAAGAAGTACAAACGCACAGTTGCATTCTCGGTCCTCAAAACCGCCAGAACCGAATACCTCACAAGTAACATCACCTCCTATGAAAATGTTGTGACAAACGTAGGGGAGGATTTTGACGAAGCCACCGGCATGTTCACATGTGTAATTCCTGGTCTCTACTTCTTCAAATTCCATTTTCCGCAGACAGCCACCAACTTGCAAAACACAACGGTTACACTCTATAAAAACAGCTTGAGTCTTCCTGAAACTTATATTACTAGCGCCTATGAGAAGGAGGGACGTGTTGACTACGGCGGTGGGAGTGCGTTGGTTGAGCTGGCAGCTGGCGAGAATGTATACCTGTATTTGGAAGGACAGCTTTATCTACAAACCAACAAGCCTTTGGTTTTTAATGGACTTCTGATTTATAGGGATATTTAAAGCATCATCCCAGAATAAACAATCACAAAGCTGTACAGTAACTTATCTTCAGCTTGTAACTATCTGCTTATAAATTTGAATAATACAGTACTCGTCTAATAAAAACTAAAATATAAACATATAAAATAAGAATTCTACTTTATTCCAAACTAGAAATTTAACATTTCTGAATTTCTTTTTTGTTTGGTATGGTTACAAAATATATTACTGTAAAAAAAGATGTGCTTGAAAGGTTTAATTTACATGAATGTATCTGACTGAAAATTTTCCTTTGATGCCCTTTACATAATAAATACTAAACTGTAGCTGTACAAATCTATTGTTTGATATGACAATTACATGAGAGGTGATTGTGTATGTATCGATGGTGGTAATAATTATTAGCACTTATTATAACATAATACATACACACACATACGTACATATATATATATATATTAAACATCTCAAATTGCTTCACATTGTTGCATATTGAAAACAATCATACAGCATGTTTCTACTGAATATCAAGACAGAAATGGTTCTTTATTATCATTGGTTGGTAACTAGATTACCAAATAAGGACTGAAAACAGTGACACAAGAGATTATTTTGGCTTGGTGCTCACAGAATGAATTTGGCTTGATAAAAGGTTTTTTTTTTTTTTTTTTTTTATGAGCTCGATGTTTCTATTGCTACAGGAAATCATTCTTTGAAGAGCACCATTCAATAGAAACCATTTTTTTTTGCAAGTAGAAACCACCCCTGTCCTCCCACGGAGGGAGGCATCCCCAGACATATTCAACTACATTCAACATAGAACACAATATCAGGTACCCATTTTTAGTCCTGAGTACTAGCCACTATTCATCTGACAGCTGAACGCTGTGACTCATCATTGTGAACTGAAGGAGTCTAATGCTGAAACAATTAACAAATACAAAGAATCTAATAAACTCTATTTTAAGTAGTAAACTTTTATTTCGTAATAAAACAAACAAAATGCACATTTCTGATTCAAGATTAAAAGGGAAC